GTCGCCTAGTCTAGGCTGGTGGTCAGAGACTCTCTTTGGAGGAAATGTGGAAGTCAAGGGAATTCCAGCAGAGGAAATAGCAAGTGTGCAGGCCCTGAGGAGGAAAAGCTTGGCAGTGACTGAAGGTCAGGGTGGCTAGGGTGTGGTGGGCAAGGTGGATGGGGGTATGAGATGGCCAGGTGGGCAGGCTTACAACATGCCTGGCCTTGAGAGACCTGGTAGAATTTGGACTTAATTCTAAGTATAATTAGGAGCCAATGGAGGCTTTAAGCAGAGGAGTGATAGGATCAAATTTTAAAAAAATATTCCTGCTACTGCTGTGTGAAGGATGGATTGGAATAGGACCAGAAAGGTATGTGGAAACCAATGAAGAGGCCATTGCCGTGTCCACACAAGAGATGATGGTGGCTTGGATTTAAAAAAATATTCCTGCTACTGCTGTGTGAAGGATGGATTGGAATAGGACCAGAAAGGTAATGTGGAAACCAATGAAGAGGCCATTGCCGTGTCCACACAAGAGATGATGGTGGCTTGGGTTAAGATGGTAGAAATAGGACCACATATCATGATCTTGTTTTACAACTGGCATACAGTGATATTTAAAGTGTTGTTTCCTGAGTTCAGGGGATATGGAGGCTGCCTTTCAGAGTTCCTAGGGAGCTTGACATCCCAAAGGAATGAGCACACCAGTTCAGAGGTTAAATGTACAGAGGTATTTATAGTAGCATTGCTCACAGGGGAAAATACCGGAAATCAAGAGAATATCCACTAGTATGTAGTTGTGGAATGAATTAAGAGACAGCCACACAATAGACTCTTATGTAGCCACTAGAGTGTCCCCAGCTGATCTGGAGGGATTTCCATAAAGGATTGTTGAGTAAGAAAAGCAAGATGCAGAATGGGTTTAAGATTTCATTTATAAAACAAACCCTTTATACACGTGTGTTTGTATATGACTATGAGCATGGAAAAAAAAGAAAGGCTTCATATTAAGTTGTTAACATGGGCTTCTGTTGGGGTAGAAGTGGAGATGAAAATCAAGGCAAAAAAATTTATTAAAAAGGATTAAAATGCTCACACTTATTTGTTTTCATTAAATTAGATAGGTTATATATGTATAAGAATATTTTTAAAAATGCAACTTTTAAGAAGTTGGCTTAGGGTGTATTTTAGCTGGAATTGAATCATAAGCTCTGTTTGCAGAGGGAAATTGTNTGGCTTAGGGTGTATTTTAGCTGGAATTGAATCATAAGCTCTGTTTGCAGAGGGAAATTGTCGAGTAAAGGGTATCTTTCCTGTTGTCTGAGTCAGAATTGAGCCCCCAGTGGGATCTCTGTTACCCCCTATTTCTTTGCCCACCAAAACACTGTTTCTTTGCCTATGAGAATTACATAAGAATGTTGCTTGGCTTGTTTGGGAATCACATTTCCTTTCTACACTCAGTTCTGGCTCAGTAATCTTACAGAAGGCACATTATAATGCGTTATCCAAACCACTTCTAGTACAGGTACAACTTTTGGCTCCCCTTAAATAATCACAATAGACTCTCTGACTCAGCCCAGTGCCTAGCACTGAGTCAAAAAGGCAGTTACAGGGTGGTATAAAGTATAATAAAAGTTATATGTGTATATTAGCATGAAAAAGAATGCTAGAAGCCTGTATACCATATTTAGTAGCAGTTGTCCCTAGGTGGTAGAATTAGGGGTTATTTTAATAGGATGTTTTCTTTTTATACTGATTTTTACTTTCAACTTTTTCTATAGTTGACATGTATGATAATAATAATGATTTTTTAAAAAACTTTGGTTGTGTCTAGAATAGTGCCTAGATCATAGTAGACCTGCAATAAATATTTGTCCAATAAAGATTGATTTTTATTAAGAAAGCAGTACATGTTCATTATAGAAAATAGGGAAAAATAAGCACAAATAAGGAGGGGGGAAACCCTTATAATTTTGCCATTCAGGAATAGCTTCCAATATCTCTGTATAGAATTTTCCAGTTTTATTTATTTATTAAAAAATTCAATATGATCCATAGCTTTTTTATTTTTTCTATATTTTTACTTTTATTTTTTATGTTATTACAATATAATACTCTTACTTCTGGTATCAGCATGAATCAAGTTGCACTTTAATTTTCAATGATCATTCATCTATTCAAAATATTTACTGAGCTTGTAACAAGTGGCAAATGCTGTTCTAGATAATGAAGACATGGTAGTAAGAAAACAGCCATAGTTCCATCCTCATATAGTTTACAGTCTGGCAGAAAAAACTGAAAGACTACAGGGTAGTACAGATTGAGCAGAGTAAATATAAAGAGGGTCAAATAAGGCCTCTCTCAGAAACTGTTTTTTCAAATTAATTCCAGAATATGAGTAAATTTTACCAGCACAAGAAGGAGGAGATCAAGTTATAAGAGAGGCATAGGAATAAGTGAGGCACTTTTAAGGAACTTTAAAAATTAAGACATGGCTCAAATGGAAAGAGAGGTGATTCCATGGAGCAGAATTTCTTAATTTTAAAAAAGTAATTTATATATTTATTAATGTATATATTTTTTACATTCTATGATGTTGGGGAGCAGTTGGGGGAAATGGGAAGGAGATAGGGTGGGAGAAGGAAGAAGGAGGCGAGGCAGAGTTGAGGCCTGTGGCACCCCCCTCATTCCTGCATGGGAGACCAGGGGGCTTTCACCGGTGGCTTGGTCATTGCTGAGCTGGGTGCAGATGTCAGAGGGGTGTGGCTGAAGCCCTCACCCCCTCACCACCCCAGCTCAGGAGCCTGGGGACCCTTCCTGCAGCAGTTTGGTGGTCATTGCTGAGCTGGCTGTGGGTGTTGGGGGGCATGGATGAGGCACCCAGCGCTCTCCCCTCCCTGGCTTAGTAGTCCAGGGTACATCTGGTCTTTCTAGGTTTTATAGATGTTCTTTGGTAATGTGAGACCTTTGCTACTTAATATCAAACTTTCTGTCTGGTCTGCGGTTATTTTGTTTTTTCTTCCAGCGTTTTCATTAAATTAGATAGGTTATATATGTATAAGAATATTTTTAAAAATGCAACTTTTAAGAAGTTGGCTTAGGGTGTATTTTAGCTGGAATTGAATCATAAGCTCTGTTTGCAGAGGGAAATTGTTGCGTTCTAAAATGGGGGAACTTCCTGTGAGGACCAGTACTTGAGCCCTGTGGTTGAGCTAAATTGTTGCCTTGCTGCTGATTCCTTGGGGAAGCCTTTTTGTGCAGCCCAGGTTTTAATGGTTGACTTTATAGGTACTTCTGGGTCTTGTGAGATCTGGTACACCTGGGTTATATAGAAACTCCAGTCTGGGCCTGAGTCTTTTCATCAAACTGCACCTCATGCAGTTCTGCATTCCTGACCAGTCTCCAGTGAGTGGTCCTGCACTGATTGGGGAGCAGATCAGCTGTTCTTGCTGTGTCCCATTGTTCCCCCAGTGGGCCCATCTCCCCTGAGGCCTGTGCTCCAAACACTTCCCATGGGACGAGCCGCCTGCTGGTCCCTTGCAATGACTCACTGGCCTCTGTGTGGCTCCTTTTCTTCAGTTGTCATGGCGCCTCACTCCTATGTGGGTCCGTGGGAACCCTATTAGTGGACTTGCTGGCCTGGGGGCCACCAAGGCCCTCTTCTCCCCTGCTGCCTCCAAGCGACTTCATCTGAAGGGCACAGCTGTGGCTTTTGCCAGGATCTGCTCTGTGCGCTCAGCAGCTCCAGCCTGGAAGCAGCCAGGGCTCGAAATGGTCGAAGCAGTTATTTCTCTCATCTGGCTTCTCCACCTTCACGCACTCCGTAGGTCTCTCCTCCTCTTCCCCTGAGCTAGAGCTTGGCTGTCGTTGATTTTTAGTAGTTGTACATTGATTTGTGGCACTGACCGGAAGCCTCTTCTGCCACTGCCCGCAATACCCGCTGCTTGGTGCTGGGGACTCCGCAGCGGCACCGCCACGACAGCGAGGCCTCGCAGGGCTGGCGGGCGCAGGTGGGCGCCGCGGGGCGTCCTCAGGCAGCGCCGTAGGCAGCTTCCCCCTGCGGGGCTGGACACTGGCTGGGGGAGGGCGCGGCTCCGAAGACTCGTGCGGTGGAGTCTGGCTTTCTGAACAGGCTCCCGCTCGGTGCGCACTGCTCCAGAGCTCGCCTGGTCCCTCTGGTGCTGGGCCCATTGTGCGTCCCTGCAGCGGTGGGCCTGAGCGGGACTGCAGGGAACCCCGTGCGCTGAGCAGTCTCTGTGGCGCTGCAGCCCTGGGAGACAGCCCCCACCTTACCCCCGCTCCGGCCGGCCCTCCAGGCTCTAGACCAAGTCCAACCTCGATATGTACATAGCTTTTTAAAATGGGACTTAAAAAATTTTTTTATTCTTTTATTTATTACCCAGGCTCTAGACCAAGTCCAACCTCGATATGTACATAGCTTTTTAAAATGGGACTTAAAAATTTTTTTTTATTCTTTTATTTATTACGAATATTCATGAGATACAAAGCTGATTGTCCCCCCCTCCTGCCCATGATGTGGGGGCCAAATTCATACTGGGGGCACATCCATTACCAGAAATGACTTTTGTACCCTTTGCCCTCTTCCAGTTATCCCCCAACCTCCCACCCCTTCCCTTCGACTCCAATTTGTAGCCCCAGGAATGTTCCCTCCCTCTGTTGGATCATGGCACTACTGTGGTCTTTCTTTCCTGCATTCTGTAACTCCTTCCTCTCTCTTTTCTCATCCTCTTTTCCCATCTTTATTTCTCTCTGACTCTCCTAGTACAATTATAGAGAAAAGTAACTGCCAAGTGGCTTAGAGATGTGTCAGTAGCAAAGTGGCCCCTCTTCCAGGAAGGAAGCAGCTCCTGAGTCTGGAATATCATTTGGCGTGTTAATTTACTTAATAGAGATTTCCAGGCACCTGCACTAGGGAGGAGTATGGCCTTTAGAAGAGCAAAGCAACATCCATAGTCTATGTTGGACACAGCCTAAAACTCTGCAATTTTTTCTTGCAGGCATTTTCAGCTTTTTATTTTGTGATGAACTTTTTAAACCTGACATCAGAGAAAGTCTCTTCTCAGGAAAAGGTGATTGAGATGATGGGAAATTTCTGCTCCAAGTCTTGGGAGGAGGTAAGCAGCTAGAAATAACGCTGTTACAATTGCCCTGTGCCCTCGATAGTGTGGAAGATATATATAATCTTAAACTTGTGCTGGTTTGACCAAAATCCAGCAAATGTGTTAGAGAAGCCCAGTTTAGGAATGAATTCATCAGCATTCCTTGATAACTTGACATATAGTGGCTTAAATAAGGTCTTATTTTTCTTACCTACTATGAAGTCTGGCAGTCGGCAGCTGCTGGCATAGGGTCAGAAGCCCCACTCCATCTCAGCCATTGCTTTTACAGTTCTGTTGTTATGCCTCTTCCCTCATGGACACAAGGTGGTTGCTGTGGCTTCAGTCATCACAGCCCTATTCAAGGTCAGAAGAAGGGTAGGACCAGAAACATCTGATCCTTTTTATAGGAAAGCAAAAGCTATCCCAGAAGCCCCTCAGCAGTGTTCCTCTTATATCTCATTGGCCAGGATTGGCTGGTAAAGCAAGGTGCAGGATTTTATGACTGGCTTAGAGCCTTAGAGTTATCATGAGCTGCTGCCTGGAACTGGGCACATTGTCACCCACTTGCCTCCCCTAGCCTCCAAAGTGGAGTTCTATTAGCACTGAAGACAGGCAATTCACACCATCTGCCACAGGTACCATTGCAGTAAGATGCTTTCTCCATTAACCATATCCAAGGTATCTCTTACTTATTCATAAATTTGAAGCACAGTTTTTTTCTTATCCAAGACACTGAGTAATTAAAGGTCCAGCGCTACCTGATGAAAGTTTCCAGGGAGGAGACAGGTATGGGGTCCACTCTGATTATAAAAGACAGATCATCGGCAGCTGTTTTTAAATAGACACAATTGCAAAAGTGAGTGGTGCTTTTATTCTTAAGAAATACTTAGTTAAAAATGGATGTTTGTCCTTGTCTGCACTGACAACAGGGGAAGAAAGGCTGTGCAAGAGCCTGGAGGTTTGGAATGCTCTCCAAGTATTTTGTCTGAGTTACAACATGAAGGAAATGTGTTCAGGGCCTTCAGCAAGAGCTGTTCAAATGTGCCTCAGCACTTCACAGTTTACAGAACACTTAGGGGAGGCTTGTTGCAGCTGGTGGTGATCTGTCTGTGGGGGAAGATGAGTATCTTGAGGAAGAGGCAACTTGAGACCAGGCCTACATGTGGCTGCTGAGGAAATAGATTTAGGATGCTCTATGGAAAAAAAATTACTTCTGGTTCATAGTAAAAGTTCTGTCAGATTTCCTTTGTTATCCACATTTATTTTTTTACTTCATCTGATGATGTTAGTCTGGAAATGCTTATATGTGGACCTGTAGATCCGCTCAGATAAGCCACATGGGGAGTTGCTCACAGGCTCTGGAAATAAACTCAGAAAGGCGGGCATTTGGGAGAAATTCTGAAACATTTGGAGAGGGGGTTTACAGGGTGAGACCCTCACCCTCACTCAGAGCCTAGAATGTTGATGTGGGTGTTATGACCCAGGGTTCATTTTCTTCCGACTACGTTGTCCATCTATATGGAAAGCATAGTTTTGTCAAGTGCACTGCTATGGAGTGACTTTTCTTTTCTTCCTAACTTCACCGTGGAGAAGGACTGCCACCCCAGTATGGCTTGTGTTTGTGAATGTTCCTCCTAAACACCTTTAGCAGAGACAGAACTAACAATTGCTAAGTATGTATTATGTGCCGAAAAGTAGGCTAGGGGCTTTGTATGTATTATACCATGCTGCTTGTTTCTGCTTTGGCAGGGGAAATAAAATGCACACCACGGCTGCTGATGTCTAGTAGGGTGCCCCAAGTCATTGAGTCCTGAGGTGAGGAGACTGGGAAAGTGAGTGAAAGGGACACTCCATGGTTGTCTTCTGGTAGGTTAATTAGAGGGCTAATAAAATCTTTTAGCAATCAGAACATAGCCAATTCTCTACTTGGAAAGTCTGGTCATCCAAGATCTAGTCAACCCAAGAGAGCAATGCAATGAGATTCTATGTGTACTGATACCTAGGTACTTCTCTGTATACTCTAGGTCCTGACATTCAACCTCATGAATTCGCCTTTGTAGCGAAATGCATCCCATTCTTGAAGATCTGCCAATGCCACCTTAGGTGGGAGGTGGTAAGGATAAAGGGGTAAGGGGTGACGGGGAGAGAACCTGGTGCTATTGCACTGCCTTGGGAATAGAAAGGAGAGAGGAGCAGGTAAGAGAGAGAGGAGAGTAGATTCCCCTCCCCAGTTTAGGGAGCACATAATAATGAGTCCTCAAGCATGAACATGATTAATTCTGGATTGATAAACCAGGTGAATGCCTTTGGCTTCTATATAGTTGGCTACTGTCATAATTAAGCCTCTGCAGGTAAGACTGCATAGCCAATGTACAGCTTTCCAGAAAGAGGAGGGGAATAGGAATGTTGAAGAATTCAGGGAAGTTAGGCCAAAATGGCATCCCCCCAAAGGATAGGCCAGCCTTCAAGAATCTTCAGGGGCTGAGCAGTTTCAAGTGAGGCCCAAGTAAATTCTTGGAATTCTGTGTTCCAAAGGTGTTCTGCGTTTGACACGCCCACCAAGAACACATCAAATTGGAGGAAGAGGCCCACAAAGGAAAAGCAGAATACAGTTACTGAAAGGAAGGAGTAAGGACCTGGACAGGCAGCGTCAATTGATGTCCTCACCAAAGTCTTAGGAGAAATCATATATAGAGGAATGATCAAAGGGTAGTTTCCAGAACTGTGTTGAAAGACAGGTTCCAAGTTGTGTCATTCTAAGAATTCCATCAAAGCAGGACAAGGCAGGCTAGGACTGGACTTATCCTTCTAGAAGCTGGGGGCAGGCAGGAATCAAGTGAGAAGCAGGCTCCAGCTAGAACATAGGATTTACAGATGGGATGTCCTGTAATCTGGAAAAAAGTAGGCAGGGGAAGGGAGGCACTACATATAAAACGTCTGGCATAGTTCCTAGTACGTGATATATGCTTAACACATGCTTGTTCTCTCTCTGCCTAGAGTGCTAGAGTGTACAGGAGGGAATGCCTATCTCAAGGGCTGAAGAATAGGGCAGTAGACACACCTCTGGGCTAAGCTAGAGATGTCCTGGCCTGTTGTATTCTAATTGAGGGTACAAGGGGAGCAGAGCAGACTGTAGGCCTTGGGGCATATACTCTCAGCAGCTAACATAGGTAAGGGCAAGTGGGGCAGGCAGCTCTTAATGTCTTCCGAAGGGAGTGGGATAAGTAAACACACGAAGGATTCAAGAAGACAACTACTTTGCGTGACTTAGATGCAAAAAAAAGAGGTTAAGTAAGAATGGAAGATAGAAGGTGAGATATTGGCACTTTTAGCAGTCCTTAGCAAAATGCTTCCTACATTGTGTTCCAGAGCTGTGTTTCTCAAACTTTACTGTGCACATGAATCACCTGGGAATCATATTAAAATGCAGATTCTGAGTAGTTCTGGGGTGAGGACTAACATGCTCCCAAGGGATACTGATGTTGCCAGTCCAGGAACTAACCTGAGTGGTAAGGCTTTTTTATGACATGATATCCTTAAGATGCTGTATTAGTCTGTTTCTGTTGCTTACAATAGAATACCTGAAACTGAGGGATTTATAAAGAAATGAAATTTATTCCTTGCAGTTTTAGAGGCTGGGAAGTCCCTAGTCCAGGGAAAACACATCTGGTGAGTGCCTTGTTGTGGGTGGTGACTCTTCATAGCAACTCAGGATGTCACATGGCAAGATGGCTGAGCAAGAGAGAGCTAAGCTTCTCTCTAGCTCTCCTCATAAAGCCATCATAACCTTGCCTATGACCACCATTAAACCATCAATGGATTAATCTATTCACTTGGGCATGTTCCTCACAATCTAATCACCTTTTAAAGGCCCTACCTTTCTTTTTTTAATTTTTATTGAATCAAAATTGATTATACAAATTTTGGGGGTTCAACATTGAGATATGTTAATAAAATCACTATTACTAGCATATATATTGTTACAAATTGTAATTATTCTTTATGCCCCTTGTCCAATCTCTACCCATCTCCCTCTACCTCCCCCTCCCCCCTCTAATTACCCTAGATTTCTTCTCTCCTTCTGAAAGAATAATGGTTACTCTGTTGATTTGTTGCCTAGATGATCTGTCTAATGCTGAGAGGTCCCCCAATCAGGTCCCCCAATCTTATTCATAGAGCAGATGCTTCTTCTGTCACTCTGAAATGGGCTTTGTGGAGAAAGACATCCTTTTCTTTTCTTTGGTCTCTGCTGGTGACTCTCCTTGTGTCAATGCACCCCAGTGGCTGGCAGACCATCTGCACAGTGGTTGTGGTGTCTAGCCACTTTGGTGGTAGCTGTGGTTATTGCGGTGGCTGTGGTGGGTCACCCACACAGAGGTGATGTTTTTGGCATGCTCCTTACCTAGTTGGTGCTGGTGGTGGCAATGTGCCTGGTTGTGGGAGAGGGTCTGGCCCCTGGATCCATACCTCAGGACCCTAGGCAGGCCCTGGGATGCTGTCAGTGTGCCTGGTTGTCCCCCCTTTCTGGCTTGGTAGCCCTGGGGACTTCTGGTCCTTCTAGGTGTTACAGGTGTTCTTTGGTGAAATGAGACCTTTACTAGTTAATATCAGACTTTGTCTCTGGTAGCGGGTACTGGGTTTTTTCTTTCATTTCTGTGTTGGCTTATTTGCTGTTCCTATTACTTAAACTCTGTGCTGGAACTAATTTGTTGTCCTTTGATTACTCCTAAAGTGGGGGAACTTCCTGTGGGGACCAGTACTCTGTGGTTGAGCTAAATTGCTGATTTGCTCTTGATTCTCTGGGGAAGGCTTTTTGTGCAGCTCTCATTTTAATGGTTGACTTTATAGGACTTTCGGGTTTAGTGAAATCCAATGCACCTGGGTTGTGTAGACACACTGGTCTGCATCTGAGTCTTTTCATCAATCTGCACCCCATTCAATTCTATATTCCTGACCAGTCTCCTCTGAGTGGTCCTACGCTGATTGAGGGGCAGGTCAGCTGTACTTGCTGTGTCTCAGTGTTTTCCCGGTGAGCCCATCTACCCCACTGCCTGTGCTGCAGACACTTCCCATGAGATGGGTTGTGTGCCGGTCCCTTGTGATGACTCATCAGCCCCTGAGTGGCTCCTTTTTTTCAGTTGTTGTGGCGCCTCACTCCTATGTGGGTCCACGGAAACTCTGTTAGTAGTCTTGCTGGCCTGAGGGCCACCAAGGCCCTCTTCTCCCCTGTCACTTCCAAGCAACTTCATCCAAAGGGCACAGCTGTAACTTTTGCTGGCTCCTGCTTCATATGCACAGCAGCTACAGCCTGGAAACAGCCAGGGCTTGAAACAGTCAGAGAGGTTTTTTTCTTTCTCTCATTGTGGCTTCTCCTGCCTTCATGCACTCCGTAGGTCTCTCCTCCTCTTCCCCTAAGCTCTAGTGGCCCCAGCTTGGCTGTTGTTGCTTTTTAATAGTTGTAAACTAGTTGATTTGTGGGAGAGAGTGATGCTGGGAACTGTCTGTTCTGCCATCTTGACTGGAAGTCGAAGGATGTAACAATTGTAAATGTACATACACCCAACTCTGGAGCACCCAGTTAGATAAAGCAATTACTGTTAGATCTAAGGGGAGAAACAGACTCCAATACAGTAATAGTTGGAGACTTTAATACCCCACTTTCACCACAGGACAGATTCATTTTGAGTTGATTTTTGTATACGATCAGAGGGGTCTGGTTTCAATTTTCTCCATGTGGATATCCACTTTTGCTAGTTGTCCTTTCCCCACTGTATAGTCTTGGCACCTTTGTCAAAAATCAGTTGGCTGTAAATGTATGGGTTTATTTTGGGGCTCTCCTATTCCACTGATCAATTTGTCTGTTTTTAATGCCAGTACTGTGATGTTGGGGTTACTATAGATTTATAGTATATTCTGAATCAGGAAGTGTGATGTCTCCAACTTTGTTCTTCCTATTCAAGATTGTTTTAGCTGTAAGGGTTTTTTTGTGGTTTCATGTAAATTTTAAGATTGTTTATTCTATTTCCATGAAGTATGTCATTGGTATTTTGATAGGGATTGCATTGAATACGTAGATTGCTTTGGGTGATATGATGATATCAATTCTTCCAACCCAAGAACATGGGAAATTGAAGAGGACATTTATTTGTGTCCTCTTCAATTTTTTCCACCAATGTTTTGTAGTTTTCATTGTAGAGGTCTTTCACCTCCTTGGTCAAATTTACTCCTAGGTATTTCATTTTGGGGGTAGCTATTGTGAATGGGATTACTTTCTTGATTTTTCTTCAGCTATTTCATTATTGGCATATAGGAAAACTATTGATTTTTGTGTGTTGATTTTGTATCCTGCCACTATACTGAATTCATTTATTCTAGTAATTTGTTGGTGGAGTCTTTATAGAGTTTTCTATGTATACGATCATGTCATCTGCAAATGGGGATGGTTTGACTTCCTCCCTTCCAATTTGGATGACCTTTGTTGCTTTCTCTCGCCTTGTTGGGCTGGCTAGAACTCCCAGTATTATTTTGAATAAGAGTCGGGAAAGTGTGCATCCTTGTCTTGTTCTAGATCTTAGACTGGAAAAGCTTCCAATTTTTGCCCATTCAGTTTGATATTAGCTGTGGGTTTGCCTTTATTGTGTTGAGGCATACTCCTTCTATACCTGATTTGTTGAATGTTTTTATCAAGAAGCAGTGTTGGATTTTATCAAATGCTTTTTCTGCATCTATTGAAATGATCCTATAGTTTCTTTCCTTCATTCTATTGATGTAATTTATCATGTTTATTGATTTGTGTATGTTGAACCATCCTTACTTACATCCTTGGGATGAATCTTATTTGTTCATAGTGGAGGAAAAGCTTCCTCAAGAGACCCTGAACTCTAAACCCCTGCACCCATGGAATGAGTGCAGCATCACCTCCAAAGCCCTCTGGGAGAGGCCAGCCTTCAGGCCCACATGAGCTGGGGGGCTTTCTCCTTTCTTCATTAGGTCTAGTAATGAAAAAGAGGGCTATACAGAGGTGCCTGTTGTACAAGTATGATATTTACTTTACTTCACTTCTAGATAAAGAAATCTTTTGCTGGAGTAAAGGAGAAGTACCTGAGCGAATACTGCTTTTCTGGTACCTACATCGTCTCCCTCTTTCGGCGAGGCTATCATTTCACAGCCAATTCCTGGGAACACGTTCACTTTATGGGCAAGGTAATTTTGGTACCTGTTGGGTTGGAGGGAGTTTGGGTGGTAGTGACTGAAGTAGCTTTGGGCTTGCTTGAAAGAGATGGGAGTCAGTCTGATTTAAGTTTGGGCCTGATGTCCTTGTTCTGCCCCTCCACCTGTAACCCAAGCTGGCATTCTGTGTTGAGCCCTCCTGGATATATTGACCAGCTGTGGAGAGCCGTCTACATTCGCAATTGCACCTTTCTGCCCACATAACAGTGACTAATTCCTTACAAAACACAAAATGAGATATGAAAGTAATGTAACAGCATTTCAGTAGCCACAGTGATTCTATGTGCTGACTTCAACATCCCTCCACAAGCCAGGAAAGGGTGATCATGGTTTCTTGGTAAGGGGTAAAGGCCTTCTTGGTTGTTGCTTCAAGGATGACCAATCTGAAAGCTCTGTATGAAGAAGGGGATTGAGTGGCTGTGAATGAGACTGTTAATTAGAAGCCAGGATTAGCCTGAACCCTGGAGAAGCAACCTCATGGCTGTGCTTTACTATAGCACCACCTGCAGGTAGCTAGGAATAGAGAGACATTTACATTAGCTGTGCAACTCATGTTTAACGAAAAACCTCATAGAGCAGTGTTTCTCTACTTTTTTAGACCCATGCCCACTAATGGCAAAAACATTTCACACCCTTTATTAAATATGGTGATTTCAAGCAAAACAAAGCATTGAGGCAGAGGGCTGTAGCAGTCCCGAGGACACTAGTTTCCTTGCACTCTTGTCAGTACTGACCTTGCTAATTCAAACTCACATCCATTCCTGTTTCAATATCCCAGACTTCCTTCCATTCCATCAGTTTATTTTGTTTCTTTGACAGATATGTCTATGTCAAATTTATGATTGACACACAGGGAAGTCCTGATTTATATTCTTTGAACTTCATGATCCATGACTTCTAAGCCCTAAGCGATAACTCCTTTAACTCTAGAGCCTTCTTTGACACATGCAGTCAGATATGGTTCCCATACCTACCGAGGGAAGTGGACCTTTTACAAATGATTAATTCCTAGTATCGGTAAGAGTTTGAGGAGGAGTGGAATTTTCACCTGATATTGGTTGGAGTATAAATTGGTACAACCTTTGGGAAGGCTGTTTTGACAATATGTGCTAAGAGCTTTAAAAATGTGCACATCATTTTGTCCAACTACTCCATTTCTAGGATTTATAAGAATTGGATGAAGTGATTAAAATTGAATCTATAAGGGCCAGCCCGGTGGCGCACTGCTATAGTGTGCCGCTTGGGAGCACGGCGGCGCTCCCGCCGAGGGTTCGGATCCCACATACAGACCGGTTCCCGCTCACTGGCTGAGCGAGGTGCGGGCACGA